AACAAAAACAAAAAAAAAAGTTACTGTACATTCGAGGTATTGTCCATAAAAAACAAATATATATATATATATTTGATATCATTGTTTTGATTTTGTGTTTCTTTTTTCTGCCAACAACCATTCCTACATTGTGTTTGATTTTTGGGATATTTAATTGGGTTCGAGTCTTTCATTCTTCTTTTGAGTCTATTCACATATTCATGTCAAAATATTCATCTATTCCACTTATTCAAGTCCTTTGAGTCTCGTGGTCTTTGATTAATATTCTGTTTGTTTGAATTGTTGGTAAAACAATTGATTTAGTTCACTTGGTTCTTTGAAGTGCTTGGAGGGAGACTTTGAGTGGTAAAAGGCCGAGTGGTGAGTTTAAAAGAGGGAAAAAGCCATAGTGAGTGTTTTTGGAGTGAAATCTTTGAAAGGCATAAAAACAATTGTGTGATATGATGTCGAAAAGAGAAGGTTCTAATTCAAGCCGAAATGGTAATGACAACAATGCATTGGAGGAAATGATAAAGAGGTTTGAAAGGGTACTTGGTGATGTTAGGGAGAAGGTGGATAGGCAAGGGGAGTGGATGGCACAAATGGGTACTGCAATTGCTAATCTTAGCCGAGGACAAGTGGAGATGTCTAATACTAGGCGGCCGGGTAGGCGTGAATCTAGGAGAGGAAGGCGGGATGAGTATCGTAGTGATGATGATGATTTTGATGAAAATGACATTGATATGGGTCGAGCGAGGCATAGGGGCGATAAGATGGAAAGACGGGGTAGAAATAACTTAGGAGATGAAGTAGATGGAAATTTGGGGAGTATTAAAATGACTATTCCGCAATTTAAGGGGAGAAGCGATCCGGAAGCATATTTAGAGTGGGAAAGGAAGGTTGAGATGATTTTTGAGTGCTATAATTATTCGGAGGAGAAAAAGGTAAAATTGGCGGTGTTTGAATTTGTAGATTACGCGATATCTTCGTGGGATCAAGTACTTACACCATGGCGTAGGGGTCGGGAAAGGCCAATTAGCACTTGGGATGAGTTGAAGATGTTGATGAGGAGGAGGTTTGTTCCGAGTCACTATTATAGGGAAATCCATCAAAAATTGCAAGGTTTGTATCAAGGATCGAAAAGCGTAGAGGATTATCACAAGGAGATGGAAATTCTTATGATTCGGGCTAATGTGGAGGAAGATCGGGAAGCTACCATGGCACGGTTCTTGAATGGGTTAAATTGGGATATTGCAAACATTGTAGAGTTGCAACATTATGTGGAAATTGAGGACATGTTACATGTGGCAATGAAGGTCGAGAGGCAATTGAAGAGGAAGGGGACGTCTAGGCAACTGTTAGGTACTTCGACTCCTAATCCAACATGGAAATTGAAGTGGGACGACAACAACAAAAACGGGGTTGTACCTAGAGGTAAAAATGATTGGCAAAAGGGCAAGGATGAAAATTGTAGTAACCCAAAATTTCATAGAATAAAATTTGTTTTATGTATCCTAAATTTTAATATTTTAGGGACTAAAATATATACAAAGTAAAAATTAAATTTTATTCGGGTTAAAATGTAGATGTTGACGGAGCGACAATAAGTATATGAAAATTGGTCTCGTTGGAAAGCTCGTATTTAATCATGCATGTTAGGCTCGAGAAAAAGTGGATTTGGATTAATGGAGCTTAAATTATTGAGATCAAAAGATTTAGCCTTAAAATATTGTTATGATTATTTTTATTATTATTTTATTTGAGTATGCATTGTGTTGGAAGATTCACGTGGAAGAATTTGGTAGGATTTAATTGGTTAACTAATAATTAAAAAAAATTAATGAAGAGAGAGATATAAAAAGATATGGCAACCACGTGAGAGAGAGAAGCAGCTTTATTAATATTTCCCTTTTCAATTCGTTTGAGAAGATGCCACGTGTGGAAGTTGCCCCTGAGTGGTTGGTTATTGATAAGATTTAGTCTCCCATTTTGTTTCAAATACAGTTCTCTCCACTTTATCCAATCATCCACTATCTCCCTATATCTCTCACACGTTATCCCATAGAAGTTACTGCATATGTATATGGAATGCACCACACGAAATAGACACACAAAAATATAAGTGCATTGCTTACAGTGATAGAAGACGCAGAAAAAGAAAAGAAAAGAAGGGAACGTGATTTTGTTTTAACTTCCAAAATTAAAGCAGTTTAATAAGGTAGGATATGAGGTGCAGTATTTTTTTTTTAATGTCCCGTTTAATTATTATTATTTTTACATGTTGACGAATTTTATACTTATGAAAGTAAAGTTATGATATCAATGTATGATTGAATGATATAGCCATTCCGATACAATGAAATGAAATGAAATGTTATGATGTGAGCTCTTACCGGATTTTAAAGTTATGCGACGGTATGATATTCTGACACATGTCTTAAAATTATTATTCGGGATTGCACCATTGAAATATGATATCCTACTGAGTATTCCCATGTACTCACCCTTTTCCTACACCTTACAGGTTAGATCGGGTCGTGTCGGAGCGTGATGGTTCGATGGTGTGGTTGTGCCTGCTTTTGCTGATGAAAATCTTGATTTCAACGAGTAATTTTATTTCTTGTCATAGTCATTTATTTTTAAAAACTGATTTATCGTTTGTGATTATTTGTTACATGAATATTTTTAAATTATGCTTCTATTTAAAGTCTGAATTAAAATTGTTGGATTTCCTTAGCGTGTTATTTTGCTTTGATCTCCGTGCTTGCATGAAGAAAAATTAGGAATCTCGACTTCTTTAAAATATTTTATTCATTATTTTCGTGTCTGATTTAAGAGTAAGGGTCATTTCACTTTAAATGAAATTCAAATTAAATATTACTTTTTCTGCCAATCTCACTGTTCAAGAATTTTCTTCACTGTCAATTTATGGACTGGTGGTCATATCCAAATAAATTATGTCCTGTAGCCTTGTGGTGTAAAGTGTTGAATTTCTTAAATAAATGATTCAGCTTTTGTACTATTCTCTTAATTGGGCAGTGTCCCACACCACACTAATGAAAGACAAAAGCATATCTTTGACTGGGAATTTTGATTATCCTATGTGTATATGGGATCCATCATTGCGTATATTTGGATGTGTTAAGTCAAATGAAAAATAAATAAATTATTTCACACGTATAATGTGAGTTCTGTCTTGAATTTTTAAAGTGCAGATTAATTTTATGTGCCTTTTTTTATACACGTTAAAAATATAACGTAGAAAAGTAAAAAAAAAAAAAAATATATATATATATATATATATATAAATTAATATAATTTATTATTATTATTTTTTAAAATTGAGTAAATTACATCTTCATAATTATATATGTATTATGGCATTCCAAGTTGCCCAAATTCGAATGAAAAATTTCAGTAGCGATTCAACCCTTTAAAAAAAAAATTGGGTCGTTACAGTTTGGTATCAGAGCGTAGGTTTATTTTCCTGTAGACCCATTTTTAATTTTATGTGATATAAAAAAAAATTGTCAATATTAACTTACTATTCACGTGAACAGTGAGATGGGTCACTGTTCATCACGAACAGTGACAACAAAAGGGAGATTTTACGTGTACAATAGCTGTTTATTGTTTATAAATATAAATGAATAGTAATGCCTGACACTCTTAAATATATTGCATTTTTTTATTTTATTTTTATTTTTTTGTACTAGTGATGGCATTAGGAGTACCAATTCCATTACTATATTGACTTTAAGTAGTGTTGTTCATGTGACGTGAACAGTTAAAAAAAATATATATATATATTTTTTTATTTTTTTTTATTTTTTGTACTAGTAATGGCATTGGGAGTACCAATTCCATTACTATATTGACTTTAAGTAGTGTTGTTCATGTGACGTGAACAGTTAAAAAAAATACATATATATAATAATAATAATAATAATAATTATTATTATTATTATTATTATTTCGATGATGTTATATGAATATTGTACTTCCGTGTTTTAAATGTTACGTGTAATAAAATATTTTTTTTTTTTTACTAGCTGTTTTTCCTTGCGTGACGTTGTTTAAAAAAAAAATTATTTTTTGAAAAACCTATGAATTTAATGATAATATCAAATTAAAGTTATTAATTATGCTAGCGATTTTTGGCACTCAACAACCACAATCGACCACCCTCCGACGACTCTAACGTATGTAGAAGGGTAAGAAAATGAATGCACTCAGATGTTTTCAATAATTTCAATATTTTAGATTGCCTACTTCTAAATCTTTAAGACATGCACTTTATTTTTCCACTAAATTGATGATATGTATTACGATAAAAATACGTATAACGTGATAGACTTAGTGCTAAAATGTGATTGTAACTTCATATTAAATTTTAGGAAATGGCACCACCTACTCATACGAATTTGATGCACGATTTACTAAGAGCGGTACAAGAGTTGAGCAGGCAAAATCAAGCACCTCCACCACAAAATGCACTGCCACAACAAAATGCACCGCATTTTACCCCTGGAGCTGTCTCAGTGGTTGAGCAGTTTCGCAGGTACAAGCCTTCCACTTTCGACGGTAATTCTGAACCACTGGTTGTCGAAGAGTGGATAAGAGGCATGGAGCGCATATTTCGACACATTGCTTGTACGGATGCACAGAAAGTATTATGCGCAGAATTTATGTTAATTGGAGCAGCTGGTCACTGGTGGGAATCTGTTTCACGTACAAGGACGGAAGAGCAGCAACGTAATCTGACTTGGGAGCAGTTTAAAGACGAAGTGCTGGCAAAATATTTTCCACAAGCTTTGAGGGACTTCAAGGAATCAGAATTTCTGCAGCTCAGACAAGGGAACATGTCACTTACTGATTATGAAAGATAGTTTGAGCAGCTCTCGAGGTATGCCCCGCACTTGGTGGATACAGAAGTTAAGAAGATTAGGAGGTTCGAGAATGGACTGCGCCCTGAGATCGGCATGATTATTATGTCCCATCGTTTCACCTCATATCGTGAAATGTTGGAGAGGGCTCATGCTATTTCATATCAGAGGACCTCATTTGAACAGTATGCCCAGCAGAGTAAGGAGTCGTTGGGGAAAAGGAACTGGAGTGATCAAAACAAGAACAGACGCAATTGGCAGAATAAAAGGCCAAATACAGGAATTCGCATTGGTGGGACGAGTGGAAGTATTACCCCCTGTCCTAAGTGTAATAAACTCCACATGGGTGAATGCTGGTTCGGGAAGAATGTGTGCTTTAGGTGTGGTAAGCCCGGACACATCGTTCTCAACTGTCCAGAGCCTCCAAAGAAGAAGGATGATGATCAAGACCAAAACAAGAAAGGAAAGGCCCGAGTTTTCGCACTGAATCAGCATGAGGCAGAGCAGGATCCGAATGTGATAGCAGGTATTTATTAATATTTTGTTTACATACCTACCTATGTTCTTTTTACCTAGGACTAAATATCGTTTCATTTCTGTCCTTTGGTTGCTAGTCTAACACTATAATTACAAAAAACAGGTATTCTGTTATTATCCAATGTGCCCGCTTACGTACTTTTTGATTCTGGGGCAACCAATTCTTTTATATCTGCATCCTTCGTCACTAGGTCCAACTTTGCATCTGTGAGAACAAATAATGAATTAGAGGTTAGCATTCCGTCAGGAAAAACTCTTTGCACAAACCAGATGACTAAGTCTATGAAGTTAGAGATTGATGGGAAAATATTGGAGGCAGACTTATACCTCTTGGAAATGAAAGACTTCGATGTTATCTTAGGCATGGATTGGTTAGGACTTAATCATGCTACCATTCGATGTCACGAAAAAGAAGTGCTATTTCATAGACCAGGAGAGGAAGAGTTTCGTTTCTTTGGAGCAAAGTTCAAGTCCCTACCTCGTCTTATATCAGCTATACAAGCGGAGAAGATGTTAAGAAAGGAGTCATGCCAGGGATTCTTGGTTAACATTATCGGTTCTCAACATACAGAAACGAATGTTAACGATATTAATATCGTGCAAGACTTTGCAGATGTGCTCCCAGAAGATTTGCTTGGCATTCCACCAGGTAGGCAAGTGGAATTTACAATTGATTTAATTCCTGGAGCAGCGCCAGTATCTAAGGCCCCGTACAGAATGGCACCAAAAGAACTTCAAGAATTGAAGTTGCAATTGGAGGAATTGCTGGAGAAAGGTTTCGTTCGACCGAGTGTATCTCCTTGGGGAGCTCCTGTACTTTTTGTCAAGAAGAAAGATGGGAGTATGACGATTGCATTGACTACCGGGAATTGAACCATCTAACCATGAAAAATAAGTACTCATTGCCAAGAATAGAAGATTTGTTAGACCAGTTAAGGGGTGCTACAGTGTTTTCAAAGATTGAACTGAGGTAAGGGTATCAACAGCTAAAGATCAGGGCAAGCGATATACCAAAAACTGCCTTCAGAACTCATTATGGACACTATGACTTCACTGTCATGCCTTTTGTTTTAACTAATGCTCCAGCAATATTTATGGATCTCATGAATCAAGTGTTCCATCAGTACTTAGATCAGTTCATCATAGTATTTATTGCCGACATACTTGTGTACTAAAAGGATAAGAAGCAACATGAGGAACAACTTCGAATGGTAATTGAAACTTTGAGGAATGAGAAATTATATGCCAAGTTCAAGAAGTGTGAATTTTGGCTTGATCACGTAGGTTTTCTTAGTCGTGTGGTTACCGCCCAAGGAATCGAAGTGATCCTATTAAAGTACAAGTAGTAACAAACTGGCCAAGGCCGACCAGTGTGGTGAAGTCCGCAGTTTTTTGGGATTGGCTGGTTATTATAGAAGATTCATTGAAGGCTTCTCAAAAATAGCAGGGGTAGAATCCCAAATTTTTGTAGTTGGTTTGCATATAATTTATTTGCCATTAATAGAAATGCCATGTCTAGTCAAGAATTTATGCAAAAGTGAATTTGTTATCTCTATAGTTAATTTGGATGTATATGAATATCTTCATAGTTGAGGGACCAAAGTGAAAATAAATATAAAAAATTTTACTTTTGTTAAATGGGCCAAATAGTTAACTCTTGGAGGAACTAGAATTACCTTATCAATATTTGGCTCATTTTGAAGCTTGTTAAAAAAAATGGTGAATTAGGGACTCAAGAAAATTTTAATTTGGATAAGTGAAACTCGAGTATAGCCAATTAAGAAAACTACTTAGTTAATAATATTAGTTACCAATTCGGACTAAATTACTATATCAATATTGGACTCCTTTGATAAACGGTAAATAATTATATATATTAGGACTGGGAAAAGGATATTTTGGGATAAGTTGAATTAAGATAAAAATCAATAAAAGAATCAAGGTATAAATGAAATTCTAATTAATTAGTAAGCATACAGTTCATTTTCGGCCGGAATTGAATAAGTTAAGTGTTGATAATTATAAAATTCAATTAGGATTGAAACTAAATGTAAACCCTTAATTACGTGGGATTTGAGTTACATCAGTTTTCTTTAATAAACCTTAGTATTAGATTAGTTAGGATTCTAATGAATTAAAACTAGTTAAGTTGTACAAAAATTGCATTGGGAACATCCTGCCAATGATATTGTTTCAATGAAAGATAGAAGATAAATTAATTATTTATTTTTGTTTGTATTAGAATAAAAAATATTTAATGCACGCAATTCATTCCATCCTCACGTGTGCATGGGATACGTAGTCATTATGTTTCTCATCAAAACCAATAGTCAATTTCCAATCAAATTATATCAAATAGGAGTCTAGGAGTCCAGACCAATTTCTGGGAAAGAGGACGGAAATTTTAGATGACTACCTAAAGCATTCTACTATACTTTATTCTCTCCCTCTCTAAATTTTCCTCTATATTACTAAGGCTTTATACCCAAATCAATCTACCATATTTTATTTCACAAGCAACCAAGAGAAAAATCTCAGCAAACAAGTTCCCACAATTTGCTTTTCAAGTGCATATTATAAAACAAGATTCATTTCGTAAGGTACCTGCTCAGTGCTATTAGTGGTTTTCCACATCTTTTCAAATACGTTGTTATGTATGAATTTAACTATTTCAGTTCAGGGCTTCTTAGGGAGAAATCATGATACATTTTAAGTTAGCCTTCACGTTATTTTGTAGCGCTTGCTTGAATTATCTTTGCCATGGTGTGATAATTCTCATTTTATGTTGTTAAGAGAATTTGTGCTTAATTTCATATTTGATTTGAATGTGGAGTAACAAGCATCTCATTGAATATAATTCATTCTACTCATCCCTCTTTATTTATGAATATCAAGTATGCGGGATGGCGGTGGATGGATGTGCTATTGGACCAACATATTCACGTCATGAAGTACTTTAATTTTAAGAACACTAGAATTTTAACAACATATTATTATTAGTTTTGTTTTTAGACTCAATTGTGAGTGACGTTAAATTTTTCATCTAGTCCTAATTCTATTGTTTGTTGGAACTAGTTTTTA